AGCAACAAGAAAAAGAGAGAACACAGTAACTAAAACGAGGAACAGGAAAATAGAGCTGTAGATGAGAAAAATTAGAGAGGAAATAAAAAGGAAAACAATGCTAAGAAGAAAAAGAAAAAAACAGGGAGGGAGAAGATGAAAAGAGATTAAGAGTAGTAAAGAAAGATCAAAAGGAAAACTAGGGGGAAGACATGAGAAACAGAAGAATAGAAGAAAAACCTGAAAAAGAGATAGGATAAAACTTAAAGGAAGAAATAGAAGAAAGAATAAATGAACAAAAGGAAAAACAAACAGTGAAATTGATGGACTCAGAGAAGAAAAATCTCTGGGGGACTCCTTACAACCAAGGAACTTACGAGGTGGGTGGGGAAGGGATATGACTGTGGAGTTGCCGGCCCTAGATAAAGGTCCTAGTGGCTTGGGTGTTGTCTATGTTCAGGGAAGCTAATCCAAGGTAGTTTGTGGAGGCCTTTAACGTAGCCAGTTCCCTGTCTGTCAGGACACTGAGGCCAAGGGTTTTGAGGGTTTCTGCTAGACCAACGCTGGTCTGGTGGCTCTGCGGGTTGAGTAGTCTGGAGTCAAGCACACCTAAATCCACGCACCAAAAACAGTGCCGCAACCTGTCACAGTTCTTAACTGAATTCCCGGAGAGCAGAATCTGTGTTGGGGGTGAACGAGGGTTGGGACATTTCTGGTCACCAGGGGAACGTGGGAGACCAGAAGGAACCACATCTTTCCTGTCTCCAGTCTCCAGTGTGAATCTGTGTCGCCAAAGCTTCTGGCAAAAGAGAGACCATTCACCAGTCAGTCTCCTTCTTTTGCTGTCCCTGCGCTCAGCTTCTCTTTCCAGCAAATATTCAGTCCACTTCTCTAACCTTTCTTCTGGAGCTCAGGGCTCCAGGGTGGTCATCTGTATCTGTTTCATTGGGTCTTCCAAGTCTTTGTTTTAGAAGGTCTGTGTAGCATGACTGCCTAGTCTGCCATCTTGCCTGAAGTCCCAATACTAAAATTCTTGAGAGTGATAATGATATTATGGTTGTGGAGAAAAATGTCCTTGTTCTTAGGACACAGGGCCAAGAATTAACAGGTGTAATCCCATGATGTTTGCACCTACTTTCAAATGGTTCATACTTTTCAACAGGTTCTTTTCATCACTGGATCTTGAAAGGAATAGCATGTCAGGGTCTTCTAGACCAGCTTGGGTTGGTCCTGGCTTCCTGACATCTTGCCTTCTTCAGTTTGTTTGTCAGGATGAGGTACCATGTATATTATATGTGTATGCATGTGCATATTTCTCTTCAGTGCATTATGTATGTTGTCACTGTGTGCTGTCGAGTGAATTCAAATCAATTCTGACTCGCAGCAACGCTGTTGGACAGGGTAGAACTACCCCATAAGCTCCCAAGGAAATCAGTCTTAATAGAAGTATCTACTATGTCTTTCTCCCATGGAGCTGCTGGTGGGTTGGAAACACTGACCTTTTGGTTAGCAACCAAACACTTAGCTACTGTGCTACCAGGCTTCTCCCATATGTGTGCCTGTGTGCATATATGTGTGAACATATACTGTTGGTAGATGCCATCGAACTGATTTTGATTCATAGTGACCCCATGTGACAGGGTAGAATTGCCCCCACAGAGCTTTCTTGGCTGTAATCTTTATGAGAGCAGATAAGGTCTCTAGTAAGGTCTTTTTCCTAAGGAAGCTTTGGTTAGAAGCTGAGTGCTTAACTATTGTGCCACTAGTGTGCCATATTTGATTGTTAAGTGCCATCAAGTCGGTTCTGACGTATAGCAACTCTGTGTAGGGTTTCCAAGGCTTTAAATCTTTCCAGGAGCAAAAAAGCCTCATCATTCTCTTGCAGAACGGCTGGTGGGCTTGAACCACAGACCATGTGGTTATCTTACAAAGCTACTGCCTGATAAATAGATAGCTAGATAGATAGAGAACATGGGTCAATCTAGTTGAAAATATATTCGAGTATTCTTGCAACTGTGGCTCTGTGGGCTAATGCGTCAGACTGCAAAGTCATTTGAACTGCAAGGTTGGTGGTTCAGGCTCACCAGCTGCTCCTTGGAAACCCTATACAGGGTCGCTATGGGTTGGAATGACTCGATGGCACTTAACAACAACAATTCTTGCAACTGTAGGTTTAAAATTTTTCAAATCAAGTTTTTAAAAGAAAAAAGGTTTTTAAAAGTTTACAATAATATATCAAATGTAGATTAGAGGTTACCTTTGAGGGAAGTGGAGGAATGATTAGAAGGAATAGGAAGTGGGCTCACGGGCAGTCATCAAATCTGACTGAGTTTTGTGGCCATTCACTCCATGATAAATCAATGAATGTATGCTTTTCTGTTTTGTATTGTTTGGAATGTGTGTGATCTGTAATCCTTTTTAAAATTTCAAAAATATCACAGCAGATTTGTTGTTGTTGTTGTTGTGAGGTGCCATTGAGTCGGTTCTGACTCATAACAACCCTGTGCACAACTGAAAGAAACACTCTCACCCACACTTACACAGTGACACACACTTACACACTCACACACAAAGTCATATTCACACATGCTCATGAATACACACTCACACACACCGTCATACTCACACGTGGTCATGAATACACACTCACTCGCACACAATTACACACACACAGTCATATTCACACGTGGTCATGAATACACACTCACTCACACACAGTCGTTCGCACACACTTACTCACACTCACACTGTCGCACTCACTCACACACGGCTAACAGTTTGTAATAAAACATGTGGGGACTTTTTGGTTAGCAGCCAAGTTCTATGACCACAGTGATGCCAGGGCTCCTCCAAGAGCATGGTGGAACATTTAAATTTTTTTTCAGAACACATGAAAAGGAGGAAGTGGCATGATGATTTATGTACTTTTTTAACCTCAATCAATTGTAACTAGGGACCACTGTGACCAGGTACCACTGTGACCAGGAACCTTTGTGACCAGGAACCACTGTGACCAGGGATGGTTGTGACCAGGGACCATTGTGACCAGGGACCACTGTGACCATGTACCACTGTGACCAGGGACCAGTAAGATTTCTGTCTCTGGAAAGGAGTCTTTATTGGATTCTGCTTTGGGTTTCAAATAATAGAAAACCTGACTCCAAGTGACTTCCACAATAAAGAGATTTATTATTCTCTCATACTACACACATTCCAGAGGTTGGTGGCACAAGAGTGAAGAAAAGTCTTCAGTTGCTGTAATGGAGCATGACGTAACAGTGGCTAGACGTGAAATCTTTCCTCACAGTCTGAGTGTAGGCTTGGTGTCTTCATTTCCTGGGGCTGCCATAACAAAATACTACAAAATGGGGGGCTTCTGTAATAGAAATTTATTGTCTCACAGTTTCGGAGGCTAGAATCAGAGTTCAGGGCATTAGTCAGTCCTTGGGTGGTGCAAACAGTCAAGTGCTCAATTGCTAACTGAAAGGTTGCAGTTCGAATCTTCCCAGAGGCGCCTCCAAAAAGAGTCCTGGGAATCTACTACTGAAAGAGCATAGTCATTGGAAACCCTATGAAGTGCAGGTCTGCTCCGAAACACCTGGGGGGGGGGGTTCCATTAATCACAACCAACTCAACAGCAACTGGATTGGTTTTTTGGTTATGAATCTAGGTTGGCTCAGCGACTTGCCTGGGTCAGTAGAACGTATTTGTTTGCAGTTGAGTTGTGTAAAATCCCAAGCTTTGGCTTCCAGAGACTATGGATGGTCCCCTTCTCGCTCTTGGTACCCTCCCTAGCCACTATGTGAACAAGCCCAAGCTGGCTTATGGAATCAAGAGAAGTACATCATTCAGCCAATCCCATCATCCCTGTGGAAAGCCAGCCACATCCCCCAAAAGAGAGCCACTTAACTGACCCTTAGCTGAACACAAATGCATGAGAAAATCTAGCCTTAGCCAAAAGAACTGCTCAGCTGAGACCAGACCCAAATTTCCGACCTACAGATACCCTAGAAGATTGTTGTTTTCCTGCTCCTTTTGCCATGAGACCAAAACAACTGGATGGTGCTTAACTATTACTGAACATTATGATAAAGATCCTATAGACAAATCCTGGTCAAAAGAGGGAAAATGTAGAACAGAATTTCAAATTCTCAAGGACTCCAGACTTTCTAGAGCCATTGAGGCTCCATGTCTCCAGAGTCCCCTCTTCCAAGAGCCCAACTCCCCACCTTCTATACAAACTATAGTTTCACCTAACTAGTAAAGACAGTCTGCTTTGAGCATTGTGCTCTTTTAAGAACCATTTATGTAGAATTAAATTAGCAACAGCAACTCAAAAGATTCTGTAGAAAACTTAGGGGGCAGTGAGTTTATGCTATTGGAGAGAGAGCAATTCAGTAAGGGACACTGAGAACAGTCAAATGACTCAAAGAATTCAAGTCACCACTGAATTGTACATCTGGAAATGTTTGAATCTGTGTGTATTCTGCTGTGTATATTCTTAACAGCAATGACAAAAAAAAAAGGTAATAAAAAATCTTAAAGGTTGTTGCTTTAAGCCACTAGATCTGGGAGTGTTTGTTATACAGTGAGAGCTAACTGATACATTTGTATTCTGGACAATAGAAAAAGAGAAGTACAAGGGGCTTCCAAAAGTTTGTAGGGAAATCTCATTCTCTTTTCATTCGGTTTCCACAAAATCTTTGGAGCACCCTTCATAGAGGATTGGAGGGCCTGCCCCTACCATGTAAGGACATTTCAAGGGCACTTGATTCTTACTGATCAGGACTTAGCCACAAGGCAATGCCTGGTTGCAAAAGACACTAAGAAATGCTTTTGTTTTTGTTTTTGTCTTATGGCTGACCAAGTGCCCAGTTAAAAAAGAAAATGGGACTCTTACTAAAGAAGAAGGGAAGATGGATGCTGGGCCACAGTAGCTGTTGCTACTAAAAAGATTTAGATGAGGGGGCTCTAGGAAGACTTCCTGGTAGAAGAGGCAAGGTTAGCTAGGGTCTTGGAAGTCAGCCCAGTGAAATTCCTTGAGACACAGCAGAAGGGCTTCCAGCTTGCACCTGAAGGTCCCCATTATTCCCTTGGGGCTTTACCTTGGGGACAGTTAGACTGAGAACCCCATCCTCAGCAAATGCTCTGGCCAGGGAAGAAGGGATTGACTGCAAAAACTTTTGTTTGAAATCTCTGCCTATGAAAACATAGAGGAAGGGGTTGAGGCAGCTGTTCAGACAGCCCAATGAGGAGGTAGCCCAAAGGAAGATCAACATCTTGGGGTCAATAGGGTTTCTATACTGCACAAAACGCCACAACTGGACCCAGAGTGCCACATTAAATGGGAACCAACAGGTGAAAAAGACACTCACCAACACCAGCAGCAACCTCTTTGTCCAGCTGGTGTGGACCCTGCCCTCCCACCGGATATTGGTCCAGATAAGGTGGGCACAGGTGCCGATGACCACCAGGGGCACCAGGAAGCCCAACAGGAGGTGAGCGATGGTCATAGCCATGTGCCTTCCCACAACCACTTGATCTAAAATCGGAATTTCCCCATGCGTTGTATTGAAGTTGACATAGCAATAGCTGCAGTTTTTCAGAGTACCAATGCTCCGGAATTTCAGGTATGGATAGCAAGTGAAGGCAGACAGCAACCACACGCCAACAGCCAGCCAGTTTGCTCGTTGCACAGTGCGGTGGTTTCGGGCCCAGATGGGGTAGAGGACAGAGATGCAACGGTCCACAGAGATGAGGACCAGGAGGTTGATGCTGGTGAAGAAAATGAGGCTCCGGAAGCCCTGATAGAGTTTGCAAACCCATTGGTTGAAGGGCCACTCACCAATGGTCAATGTATGTATTGCAATGGGCAGAGACAGTAAAACAATGAAGTCGGAGAGGGCCAGGTTGAAGAACCAGATGGTGGTGACGGTGCGAGTCATTCTGAAGACAGTCATCCAGAGCACAAGTCCGTTGCCCACTAAGCCAATGACAAAGCACACACACAGGATGGCCGCGGTCAGCTTGCGGAGATGCCACACATCCTCAGGCTGGCAAATGGTAATATTCATCTTCCTAGAGCAGTAATGACCACACATGAATACCACAGGCTTTCCTTCAGTAGAGCCCACAGTCCCTCAGACCTCATTCATTCATTCCCCAGTGTGACAGCTAAGGCTTTGGGTCAACGTGACTGCACCAGGATTCTCAGTAGTTAGGCAGCTAAGAGGCCTGTGATGAGATCTAATATAATGTAATCACCTCCCTCACGATGTGATCTGATACAACTGTCCCATGTCTTGTAAACCCTCACTTCTACCATCTGAATGAAGCAATATGCAGTCTATAGGTTTAAGGTGTGTCTTGAGTCGATCTCTTCAGCGATAAAAGAGATTAAGCAAGCACGCAGAACGGAAAGAGATTTACTTCCGCCAAGAATGAAGAACCAGGAGAAGAGTGTGTCCTTTGGGCTGGGGTCCCTGCACTGGGAGGGTCCTAGATCCAGGGGAACACTGATGCCAAGACACAGGGAGATTTCCAAGGAACGTTGGACCTAAAGATAATGAGAGAAGGTAAAGCCTCTCTCCTAAGCTAACAAAGGGAGAAAGCCTTCCCCTGGAGCTGGCACTCTGGATTTGAACTTCAAACCTTTTAAACTGTGAGAGAAGATATTTCTGTTTGTTAAAAGATCCTTTGGTAATATCTCTACTATCGTATCATTAGATAACTAGGAAACCAACTTAACTAATCTTAACTGAGTGCTTGCTGCATCGTGATGTCACTAGTCCAGGTACTAGGGATAAATCGTACTACAAAGCAGGACTGTGGGGGACTTAACCTCTCAGGGAAGGATGCCGGAGAACAAACTAAGGCAGTAAACATAATGTTGTTGTTGTTAAATGCTGTCGAGTCAGTTGTGACTCATAGCAACGCTGTATAGAGTTTCCGAGGAGCAGCTGGTGGGTTGGAACTGCTGATCTTGTAATTAGCAGTCAAGTGCTTATCCTACAATGCCATGCTAAGACTGCAGTGTAACAAATATAACAAAGCCATGGTGTGCTTATTTAGAAGACTCCTGTTGTTCTTGGGAGCTGTCAAGTCACTTCAGACTCAAAGCCACTCCATGTGACAGAGTAGAACTGCTCCATGGGGTTTTCTTTACAGGAGGCACCCTGGTGGCACAATGTGTTAAGTGTCAGGCTGCTAACCAAAATGTATGCAGTTCAGACCCACCAGCAACTCCTTGGGAGAAAGACAAAGTAGGTTGCTTCCGTAAAGATTTACAGAAACCCTTTGGGACAGTTCTACTCTGTCCAGCAGTGTGGCTATGAGGTGGAAACAGCTCAACGACAGTGGATGAGTCTGTCCAGAACCAGATCACCAGTTCTCTTCTCCTGTAGACCAGCAACCAAGTGCTTCACCATGTTTGCTAAGATCCTTTGACATTACCAGAAATCAGTACCTCCTAGAAGTTTGCAAAGGGGCTGCTGATTTCTGGTAATGTTAAGAGAGTTTAGCAGACTAATCATCTCATCAGTAATAATCAAGGAACTTGAAAAGAAGAGTAAAAATAGACCCACGGATCCTATCCAGAGAAGCAGTGACACCAGAGATGGAGGCAGAGATGAAGACATGGAGAGATGGAGCAGCTGAAGACACTAGACTCGTGGAAAGAGAGTCAGGAGGCAGACTTGCAGAATGTGACCTTTGGTTGTTTAAATGATTATATATCCCTGAGTGTTTTTGTGTACATCGCTCCATCGTCCCCCACCCCCCCCA